GGACAGCCCGACACCCATGGGGACAGCCTGGCACCCAAGGGAAACGTTTGACACCCCTGGGGACATTCTGGCACCCCTGGGGACATTCCGCCCCCCCTGGTGACCCCAACATCCCCCCTCCTCTCCCCGCAGCTACAAGTCGTGCCTGCCGGCTCCGCTGCGGAGCCAGATCCAGCAGCACAATTTCCTGACCCGCAAACGCCTCCGGCGCCGCTTCAGCAAATCCCTGCGGAGGCTCGGGGGCTGCCACACGGACGGGCCGCACCTGAAGCTCAAGTACCTGCTGGACCTGGAGCGGCTCCAGCGCCGCCGCAACGAGGAGATTTTCCGTGTGCGCTCCCCCGGCTCGRCCGCGGCCATCGCCATCCACGTGTCCGGCGACAGCGGCGTGTCCTGGAGCTGCGAATGCTCCGAGGTGCTCCGGGCAGCCTGGGTGAGGTGTGGAGAGGTGGCCGACGGGGTTGTCACCTCCGCTGTCCCCTCCCCAGAGCCGCCAGCACTTCTGCGACTTCCCCGACATCGCCGACATCAGCATCAAGCAGGCGGCGAGCCGGGACGGCGGCGCCGTGGAGAACCGGCTGGTCACCGTCACCAAGGCGGACAACCGGGTGCTGGTGAGCTCGGGAAGGGTTYGGGGAGCCCCCGGAGGGCTCGGGGGGACACGGGGATGACCCCAAGGTCGGTGCAGGAGGTGGAGTTCCCCACGCTGAGGGAGGCTCGGTCCTTCGTGGCTCTGCTGGACGGATACTACCGGCTGACRGCGGATGCCCAGCACTATTTCTGCAAGGAGGTGGCCCCGCCGCGGCTGCTGGAGGACCTGGAAAATCAGTGCCACGGGCCCATCAGGTGCGTGCCGCGACCCCCCGAGCAGCACCGAGCAGGAGGAGACGCGGGGAGGGAGGGGACAGAGCCACCCCCGGCACGGGCGGGTCCCCGGGTTCGGTTTGGGGTGGGCACCGGGGGTCCCCGGGGTGTCCCCGAGGGGGTCACGGCCATCCCTGCCCTCGGCAGCGCCGAGTTCGCGGTGAACAAGCTGGAGGCGGCCGGGGGTGCCCCGGGGCTGTTCCTGCTGCGCCGCAGCCCCCAGGATTTCGACAGCTACCTGCTGACCGTGTGCGTGCAGGTGAGACCCCCGGGGCACCGCGGAGGGGGATTGGGGACCCCCGGGGCACCGGGGATTGGACCGGGGACCCCCGGGGCACCGGGGAGGGGGATTGGGGACCTCCGGGGCACCGGGGAGGGGGATTGGAGGGATTGGGGGCGGCCGGGACCGCGCGGGGCACCGGCACCGGGGGGAAACGCGGACCTGGAAGCGGCGGGGACAGTGCCATCCTCGGGACGGGCACCGAGGGGACAGTGCCGGGCACCCGTGGGGACAGTGCCATGCGCGGGACGGGCACCGGGGGGACAGTGCCACTCCCGGGACGAACACCCACGGGGACAGTGCCATTCGGGGCGGGACGGAGACCCGCAGGGACAGTGCCATGGCCGGTGTCCTTTCGGGACGGGCACCCGCGGGGA